TTGTTCCTTGCTTCCTTCCTTCTTTCCTTATGTCCTTCTTCCCTTCGTTGTTTCTTCCTTCTTTGTTTCCTTTCTTCCTTGCTTCCTTTCTTCCTTTTTTCCACTGTCTGTCTTTCTATGAAGGATACAATCCATCCTTTCCGTTCCTTCAGTCTCGCTTGTCTTTGGTCCTCTTCGGACTCTGCCAATTCAGTGACATGTTTCGGATTTGTGTAATTTGAGTATTGGTTTAGTGTTTGTATACTATTGGTTGTTTTAGTATTCATTCTACAGAGCCGCATCATGCGACTGGATTTGATGCCGGAGGGAAGACTTGCTAGTATTGGTTTAGAATGTGTGAATTATTCTGGATTAAGCATGGGTTGCACTTTTTTTGGCCGGTGGACCTTCATTACAGGGAAGAGATTTGTTTGTTCTTCAGCCTCTATGCGTCGTCTTCGGTTTTGTCTTGCGCGTTTAACCCCAACCCAGCACTTCGCGGCCAGAAATGTTCGAGGTGGGCAAGACTTGGGAGATGCACTTCAGCCTGCGGAAGCAGTCGCCGGGGCTGGTGGCAGAGGCGATGAAAATCTCTTTGGTGGCTGTTGGGTTGGAGCATTTGAGCTTGCCTTTGGGGGCGGGGGGTTTGGGGGGCGGGACATGGGTGTTTCCCCGCGAATCACCAAAGAACAGTTGTTGTGCAGTAGCATTTCACTCAAGGATCTCCCTAGCCCAGACCATGTGGGGACCTTTGGCTTCCAAAGACCTAGGAGTGAGAGTGGATGAAACCCGGGTAGAACGAGGTGCTCACCAGCAAATAACCAGACCGGGCCCCACCCCAAAGCGGTCCTGGTACCAAACATATCCTCGCATCTTGTTTTTGGTTGGACCCATGTTTGTTGACTCGTTTCCTAGTTGCCAAAGCTGGAAAGTCCCGCCATTTCCCTCGAGCCTACCACTCTGGGGCTTACTTTGACAATGATGAGTCACGTGTTTGTCCATGTGTGTTGTTCGGAGAGCAAGCCATGATTCGTCAATATACCTTCCAATTTATACCGCTTTACTATGGTTGAAGCAACACAGCGGATATACTAATATGCCATTAGAAGAGCCCAACCATCCTGTTGGTGTTTTTTCTTTCAACGCACATCTCCTCACTTGACAATGCAATGTTTGTTAAAAGGACGATTCCGGAAGAGTGATGCACGATCAGTCTTCACCAGCATCAACCGCAGTCAATTTCGAGGATTGCATGGCCCGCACTACTCAAACTACTATGCACTCATCACAAGACCATCAGACATGGCGCTTACTCACTAAAGCTATCTCGTAGTGGGGGACACTTGGCGAATAGTGAGTGTTGCTCATAGTTGGAACTACTCGAAGTGTCCGGTACCCTTTAAACTCGAAGTGTCCGGTACCCTTTAAAGATGGAGTCGTCACCCCAAGTTAGGGTAAATTGACTAGCTCTAGGTTGTCCCTCCATATTCATCCCGGATGGTGGGGGTTTCCCCTGCCATAGTGGCGTCTTACCGATCCCCATTTTGAGGAACCCAGATCAAGCCTTGTTCAAAGGGTCACAGGGAGGCTTCAGCTAGATCCTGGGGGCACCCTGTGAAGAGTCCTATCTGCAAGCTGTCACAAGCCCAGCACCTTCAGGGAGGCTAATGGTCGAGTGCTTCCTTGACTCTGTGATCCTGCTCATGGTGATTGTCAAGAAGCGGTATGATTTCACAATCGTCCTGTCTCAATTTCTTTGCATGTCTTCCCTCAAACATGTTTGGGACTCTTGGCCTGTGAGATGTTGCAGATAAGGTACATCTAGGCATTGAGCGCAATTCTGTGCAAACTGTAGCGATCTTGTATAGGATGTGAACCTCACCAATGACCAAGGCTTTCCTCATGGGGATGGCACAGAGTGTATGCCAGTGTTGCGCAATAGGCCACTGATCATGTGTGTGTGTTCTTCAATCTTCCTGCGCGCAGGCCTTCCGATGACTACACTTTGCGACAGGCGCGTGTGTGGTTTGAATCAGATAATTTTGCCTAGAGGGAATACGGAGTAGTGGGGCAGTGCGTTGGCCAGGTGAGCTGGCAAATTTAGCATCTTGCACTTGTTGTTCAAACATCCACCTTGAGGTCTACTTCAAAGTCCTGCGGTCCCAACTGATGGTGTTTACTCTGTGGGCTCCATGGGGGATGTGCTGACATAAGATGCTGGAAGAGGTGAAGTGGTCGCAGATTTGGACCCAGCAAATGGGTGATGTTGCTTGGACCCTGCCCCTGCCCACCAGTGGATGAACAATTGGATCAACCGCCACTAGAACATCCAAACCAAGATTTTGTTTTGCTCGGGGTTGTGGAAAGTTTGTGTTGGTTCCCACTTCGGTGATGACTGGTGACCATTATCCCCTTGAAGGGAAGAAATTGTGAATTGGAATATCATAGAAGTCGTTGCAGGCTCTGCAGGCACTTTTTTTTGGGAGGGTGGTTCCCTTTAAAATCAACTACCAAGAAAAAGTGACCTTGCTTCGCCACTGAAAGGCGGGAGGCAATTTCCAAAACACTGTGCTGGAGCTTGTGAGTCAACTAGCTCACAGGCAGTTGACTTTGGATACCGGAAAAGATTTCTCCGGCAGTTCACATTCGGGGGTTAGCGCCAGTACTTCAAGTTCCGTGCTACGCCAAGCTTGCCCCACTATCTTGATGGGCCAGGTCGCCTGAGTGAGAGGTCGCACTCTCGGCCAAAGCGCCTGGAGAGAAATCCCTGGGCAAAGGCTCACTCATCTGCCTATGTCATAGCAAGCTAGAAACAAGACGAGCTCATTATGATGAAAGTCCATAATTTCGGTCGCTGATTTTCAGGTTTTGGACATATCAGACATATTGAATCCAGAATCGCAGAGACCACCATTCCATACAAACATGTGGACTGGCCCCTTGCCATCTGCTTTTTCCCAAAGTTCGGCCAAGCCAGGGAACGCTTCTCCGCAAAACGAATGGTCCGCTCAGAATGGTCCCGGCTCCCTTTTCGATTGAGGCACACCCCTCCATATGCGAGAATGGGCTCTTTTGGCCATTGACCCTGTTTGAGTCATGCCCCCTTGAATGCAAACGCCAGTCCCAACCTACCTTAAGGCTCTAAGTCTGTTGTTTGATTGGTGTGGGAAAAGGTGTTGCAAATGGTCAGCTCTGCCTGTCCGCCTCATGAATTCTGCATTGCGGGCAGGGCTCTCAGATGGGAGTGTCCTTTTCATAGGGTACTTGTTCTTGCTGGGGGGGGGCGGGGGGAGGGACTTCCATTTGAAGGAACAGACACGCTTCCTGGGTCAACGATAAGCCCATGTCAATATTAGTACATGTTCATTGTTTGAGGGGCGTGCGCTTCTTGTTTTGCTAATCAAGATGCAAGTCATCCTTCAGATGGCAAGCTCCTTTGTCCAGCCAAACTGCGCAGATCGACTTGGGAGCGCTCCCAACGAGATCGATCGGCAAGCTTCGAACGAACGCCTGGAGAGTGCTTAAATCATGTGCAGTTTATTTAGCTTTTAACAATTCCTAGTGAGCTTGGATTTGTTTAAACTAATTCTAGTACCTTTGACTTTGCTTTCCAAATAAGCTCAGGTGATATCCCCAAGAGCATGCGGTGCTCTTGTTGGTGCTCGCACCACCCTGCAGCCCTCGCAGAACCTCGTGGAACCCTGGTGGTGGAACTCTGGTGGAACCCTCGTGGAACCTTACCTCAGGGCCGCCCCGGACCACCCCGGAGCCTATCTGGGCTGAGACCCCAAAGCTTTTAGCTGTTGGGGACAAAAACAATTTGAGAGGGGGGAGCACTTCATAGAAGAATATGATTCAGTGCATTTTCCATGTTTGTGCCTTTGTTTTTCTTACGCCCTGCCATCTGTAACCAGGGGATTCCCTTTCTTGACACCCCCGCTCGCCTTTCAAGCCCAGTCCCATGCTTGTGGCCGGATTCGGACCAAAAGCTGCCGCGGCAGCGTTTTCCGCGGTCGAAACCGGTTGGTGGGGCGGCGCGTGAATCCTGTTGAAGGTTGCCATGTTTGCTTCATGCAGCCTGTTTGGGGCCCTATAATTTCAGGGTTTGCCCGGGTTTTGTCAGGTTTGCTCTTCAATTGACTGCGGTATCCCCGAAATTATTAGGTGTATGTTTGCGTTCCAGCTGCGCTTTTGCTGGCCACCCATGGGTTCTGGAAAAATGTTACACATTCTGAGTGTCCAAGCTTCTCTTCGCGCACGATAGCTGAAATAAGCATGTCCGGAATGATTTATTTGGGGGCTGGGTCCGGGTTGGATGCAGTTATTCCCCAGGTGTTGTAGTCAAGTACTCACAGCGAGGTGGAGTACTCTAAACAAAATTGAGTCATGATCATAGAAGAATACTGTGGAATTGTCAATTAATTTCCGCCTTCAAAAAAGCCAACCACACACCACGAGTGAATTGCAGGTGATTGCTCTTCGCCCCCCTGCCATTACAGAACAAATGCAGATCCCCATCCTTCATTAGATGTGTTTGGTATCTTCCGCGGAGTCTTGAGGCGACCTCATGCTGGAAGACAAGCTTTTTCCTATGAAGTGGGCTGTGTCGGACGGCTTGAGCCGGTGCCTGTTGACTTCATGTATTCTAAAAAGCACTTGGTCAGCATAAATTGCGGGTATATAACCAACTTTCAGGGGCTCCCTCTTACCAGCATGTGGCTCTGCAAATCAACATTGGAACTCATACGAGGTGGGGGGTACTCCGCCTCAACTTGGGGCCACGTTTGGGACTTGAGGCAAACGCTCGCTGCACTTGACTGTTGGGACCCTTTATATGGACCGCAGATGACCAGTGCAAAGCCCCTGAGGGAACTAAGGCCACCATCTGACCGTTGGACGTTCTCGAAACTAGACCCCCTGGTTCTGGCTGATTTCCTTTTAACATCCAAAGTCGGAGAAGGTTCCTGGTGTCCGATTCCACCTTGAAAGGGAAGTGCTGGGGATGGCTGTCGAACCACCAGGCCCTATCGCGGGAGGTGCGCGAACGGCTCTATCCCAAGCCAGCGCCTCAGCGCATGGCTTAGTTGCCAGACTCGGACAGTGAGTTGGCGTGTGGTTGAAATGAAAAAACAAAAGGACGCCAAAAGGAAGCCAAACATTTATTGTTTGATTGTTGGTTTCAACCCTTTGCCATTTCGGATAGTTGCAGTTTGCTCATCTGCAACAAATTTGTTGGGATCTCGTTGGCGCCCTCAGGTAGGTACCCCTCCCGCCAGCCTTGTAGAGGTAGCTGAATTCTACCTTTGACCCTGCAAACATGGTTGGCAGTGAGCCCATCATTGGCAGAGTTACGACGAACCATGTTTAACAAGGTCAGAGGGAGACTTCAGGTACTGTGAAGATGTCTTGGCTGCGCTTTGGCTCTATAAATGGAATTGGGGGGAGCGAAGAATCGCTGGAATTTACTTTTATAATTCTTGTTTTCAATAGAATTGGGGGACCCCCGTCCCTTTTAAGGTAGGGATGTTTCAACCTTTTGATGGAACATGAATGAGTGTGTTCTCCACTCAGTAGCAACACAAAGCAAGTTTTGCAAGAGTGACGCGAGCATGTTGTTACTTTTAGAATCCGGGTGGATGTCTCCAACTCCAGAATGGTCATGTCCTCGGGTGGCGATGTGTCAAAGCAGGGGACCCCTCGCAAAAATAAATAAATAAAAATCATGAAAAAAGAAGGGGTCCTTTTGGAAAACGGGGGACCTGCAACAAAGACACACTCCCAGGTGTGTGTGTGTGTGAACTGTTTAATTGGCCTTCAGATGGAGAAGCTCGGGCTGGGCCTTCCACTACCTATGGAAGCCAAGGAGGCCTATGAGCTTCCGTGGAAGAGGTCAAGTAAGCTCACCCATGATGAAGGTCCTTTACTTGGGGATCCCGTATTTCAGCGTTTGGAGTTATTTCAAATTTGTTCAACTATGTTTACTACTAGGGTTATTATTATACAAGTCACGTTTTATTCTCGGATGTTTTGTGTTGCTCGTTTTTGGACCTCGCAGCTGAAATAGACAACCTAGCCTTGTCCCGCGTCCCACAACAAACCCTGAAGGTACAACATATATATATATATATACACAAATATATATATATATACATGTATATTATATGCACAATAATATACACAATTACATGCCTGCACTTGACCGATTCAGAGAGTGAATGTGGGTGCACATTGCATCGCGGAGTGTGTGCCATTGCGCATCCTGGAAGGGTTGGATCTAAGCTTCTGTCACCGTTGTCCATTTGAGACCACCTTTCTGGGCAAAAACGTTGGATGATCTGAAATGTGGTCACGAACGAATCCGACTCTTTGTCAACGTCTTGCAAAACGGCACAAAAACCTATTATATTATTTACATACACTGGTCCTCTCCTGCAAATTAAGATGGAATCCCAAACATTGGGGTCACCAGAAGATTCCTCCACCCTAGCATGTTTGGAACGATGTTCTTTAGTTTTCGGCATGGTGGGAGGTTCCCCTCGGCCTCTCAATGCACGGCTCCCTTGGCTTGCGAAACGTCAGGTCTCCTGCCCTGAGCAAGCAGACGCCCTTGCCAGATGCGGCTCGGATTCCGAACATGCATACCCCCCACTGAGCCCGTCGAATCCTTTTGAAAAGGCCCTAAGAATCTTGGAACCTCAATCAGGCCACTTTTGAGGCCCAAACCCTTCCAATGGGAATCCAATCCCTCCAATACAGGGTCCCATGGTGTGGGCGACAAAATAGTCCTACACAAGTATCCAGTAGCAGGGTTTAGCTTTAAGATTCCCTTTTGGGTGCTATTTCGTTGGATCTTTGAGCTTTCGCTGCTGGGGACACGTGTATTTATATAACATGTTAAACTTTTTATGGGGGCAATAGCCACCAAGCCCTATGGGATTCAGGGGACCCTGTCAAAAGTTGGGCCGATGTCAAACAGTCCCCTGGGATGGGAAACACCACGAAAGCGGCATCCATTTCCAGAATCTTGAGGCTGCCGGTCATGTGTCTCTTCGGTCATCCTGCGCGGCCTGTTTTGGTTTGCAAGGAACCCATTCTTTGGGTTGCATTTGGGTTCTCAAACAAGGAAGCTGCAAAATGGGTGGTTTCTCTCGGTCTCCATTTAAAGGCAACAAGTTGAGCAGTAGGTCGTTTTTGGGGGCCGCTTTGGTGCGTATTAAGAGGGTCACGAAGTGGACCACCATGAACAGGGTCCTTTAAACTACACCAGCGGGCCAGTGCACAAATCACCCACATAGCAAATTTAGAGGATTCCCTTGTGGTGATTGGCGGTAGAAGCTCAGAGCCTTGTTGATAGCAGCAGCGCATTTTCGCTGCGGCCTTGACATGCAGTTGGAGTGGTTCGCTGATTTGCGGCAAACGCTGCATGGAAGTGGCTGAGAGAAATTATGCACGTGCCTCAGCGACCCCAATTTGCTCATGTAGCCATGTGGCTGCCACTTTGGAGCGCTTGTAAAGTGGGATGTTTTTTGGGATGCGGCCTTTAAGTGATGAACCACACATTTTGGTAGGACTTGTCACATTGCTCACAATGTGAGCTTTTGCCTTGGTAAGCCCTGAAAGGCCCATTGCCTCAAACGGTGGGGCCCTGGGTGCTGATCAAATTCTGAACGTCGAGCAGGCCATTCTGGTATGCAGACGAGCCATTGGGCAAGAACAGGGTGTATAGGCTGAAAAGGTACTGAATAGGATTAACTAGGACAGAGCCCTGGTTGATGAATAGTAGAGAATTGCCGGTAGTGGGAGTCTGCCACTTGAGAGCTGTTCCTCTATTCTCCTGCGCTAATGAGCTGGAGCTCAGGGGCTAACATGAGCTTGGTTGCCCGAATGAGCTTTCCCGTGGATGTCTGAATTCTGTTCGGCAAAGTCAGCACCAAGCCGCCACAGTTTGCCTTTGGGGAAAACAACTCTTTCGCCTCTCTATTTCACAGTTATTGGGGTTTAAACGGTTATAGGCAAAGCAATGAGGGCCTCAATAGTAGGCAAGCTAATACATCACTGGACACTTTTGAGGTTTCCACGGGTTGGGTTGAAGGTCCCGGTTGGTTCGTGGGGGGAAACGATCCCCAACTTTGATGGTCCGGCTGGATCTTAATACTCTCCGAGTATCAGCGCGCTACTCCATACCATCACGATCATCGCCTGCTAGCAAATACATGAAAACCGGCTCCATAGGCCAGGTGGGCATGGGTCAAAAACAGGTACTAAAAAAAGGAACCGTTGAAAATGGAAACAAGACCTAAAACCTGTGGTCCCCTGATTTTTAATTTTGACCCATATGCTAGTTGACTTCACGTTCGCCTGAGGACGTGTTCGTCTCAAAGCTGATTGACCTGGCCATCCGCTGCGATGGCGATGTGAGAAAGGCGTCCCTGCCCTGGCCCTGGGTTGGTTTTCGGACGGCGATTGGCTTTTGAAAGGTGACTCTTGAAAAGGTCCAATTTGCCACCTTGAGCCGCAATCACAACCCGGGTAGATGAAGGTTAACAAGGGCTGCGGCCGCCTTCTTAATTCTTTACATGGTTCTGGGTTGACCATTTTAATACCAGGTTTTGATTATGATTCCCCAACAGCTGAAAGCTTTGGGGTCTCAGCTTATGACTCACCTGGGTTCCCTACAAAAGGGTGTTCCACAAAAACAGGTCACTTGAGATCCTACAAGCAAAGGGTTGTGCTTCTCTCAACATGTCGCAGATGAAAGGTTACACTGCGGATCCCTTTCGCGGGTGACGTTTTGCGCCATGGGGAGAGAACGAGCCCATACTGCTGATGTCATAACGGATAATGCTTTGTCCAGTTTTGGACGCGGTATGCCGCGTCCATTCACTCCATCCCCCCCACCGCATAATGTTGTGTTGGGGCACGGCCCAACCCAGACCGAAGCGGGGACCCCGGCCATTAAACCATTGGGCGTTTCTTGGGTAGCTTCCCTTGATTGGGCCTAGCAGGTAACCCTGGGTTGGTTTGGATTGGTTTGGTTGGATTGAACCTGAGTTCCCCAAGCCAACGGGGAAGGTCGGCAGGGAGCGTCCAAACCAAGCCACGGGTTGAGGACCTCAGGGCCTTCGTTCTCTTCCCCAATCAACGCCCTGCAAAGGGTTGTAGTTGGTTTAGTGGCAATAGTAAAGCATGTAAAAAACCCTTAGCATCTAGGGTTCCGACGAAAAGTAATTGGGTTTTGAAACCATTGCTGGGCATCATAGAAGTTAGTTTGATGCCCGGTTTTCCTAGTTTGGCTTGGCGTTGTACAGTCTTGGTGGCACTAAACGTTGATCTTCAGATTACTTCCTGCAATTCACAAGCGCCCGACTACATGTGCGTAGCACAAAGTTGGAATGAGTACAGGTTGATCTGCAGATTGCGCCCCTTCAAGTTCGCTTGTTTCTGGTTTTCTTAGGGGCACCTTAAGGGGAGATGGAGATTCCTCTAACAAGGACAGTTGTCCGTAATCTGCAGCGGAGTACTTAATTGTAAACATCTATGGGTCTGCCCCAAAGCGGTTCAAAGCATCTGGGCATCAAGCCTTACCTGCACCAATTCCTTCTGTGATTACCCGTCTTGTGGGCAGAAACCTGTGCAGACACACGTCAGAAAACCCGTTGGGAACTCAGAGACTTCGCAGCCAAACTCATCGCCGTTGTTTGAAACAAGCCTTGCTCTGCCGAACAAATTCATAAGGGCCCCCATGTTTGACCTAAGAAGCGTTGGCTTGTCAAAGTCAGTGCGGTGAACGCGGGTAAACAAGCTTGTCCATGATGATGGCCCCTGAGTGACGCCTTATAATATTATCTAATATATATATATATATCAGGTAGTGAATGTAGCATTTGTCAGGACTGGGAGCCCTCTGTGGGGTTCAAGGGATCTTTCGGGTTCCCGTGGAGTTGCTTTTTGGCACCTAAATGCAACCTTCCTATGTTTCCCCTTGGTTTGGCTTTCTTGACCTGAGTTTGCTTTGCATCTCGCTTTGCCACGCTGAGGCCTGGTTCTGAGGCGGGAGACGCCCGAGGGATTTCTGCAGCCGAACGTCCAGAGTCCCTGACCGTCAAGAGTCCTGACCCTTTATTTCACATGCAGCAGGACTAAGAAAGCAAATGTTCCCATAGTTGAGAAGGCAATTTTCCACATCCCAAGTCCAGTCCATGTCGGATTCCAAGCCGATTCCCAAAGGGGCCATTTTAGTAGGTGGCCAGGTTCCTGCCTGGTTTCACGCGGTGTAGCGCCGGTATAAAAGGTGCTACTGCATGGTTTCATGGGGATATAGTTGTTCTTATGCAAACCTTTATTCAAAACATGGGCAGATAAAGGTTAGGGATAGCCCCCTTGCCGTAAAGAGGTTTGGACATCCACCCCTTGAATTATGTACTGGTAGACCCTTCTAGTACCAGATGTTCATGACGACTCCACTTCCTTGGGACTAGATACAGGAAGGCGTGGACACATGTTGGAAGTAGCTGGTTCGCTAACCCCAGTTCCCTTGAACGCGAGCCGTGCGACCGCTCTTTTCCGCAAACTGCGAGGCCTCACCAGAAAGCGGGGCGCCCGCAGGGATGGCCCTGGTTGGCAGGGCCAAGATTCCCGTGTTTTCATTTTTGAGCGGGTTTCCTGATCCTGAGCGCCAGTTGGAGGGTAAGTTTGAGAATGTCCGAGAAACTTGGAATCAAGGACCGCCAAGAATCAAGAAAGTCCAATTCTTTGTTGATTAACACACACCTTTCTGGGTGGGGTTTCCCTTTGACAGAGCAACAAGAAACAGCTGCAAGTGCTTTCTCTGCTGACTGGGCCGGCAGGGGTCAGAAGAAACCACTTCGGGATTCCTGCTCAGGCTCCACTACACAAATAAATTGGTACGGCTTCTAGATCGAGGAGCGGTCGAGCTTGGGCTGAGAGAGTGTAGGCACTGTGAGGGATTGTATGCATTTTGGGGAAATTCGAGCGAACTCACCCAGGGCTTTCGCCCGGAACCTCACTGCTGAAGGTTCTTGCGACCCGAACGAGAACAACAGAAATCCCCCCCAAGCCACAAGGCGTAATTTGATCAGGGGTTGAACTTGTGGCTTGCTGCTTGCAATAGTGGTTACCCCTTTTTGGATTCGTTTAAAGTCTGCAGTACAGAGATACTGCAAGTGGTTGACTCATCAAAGTGTACCGGGCGCAAGCGAGGCTCGCGCTGGCGCGAAGGTGTCCACAGCATGCAGGAGTCGCCGTTCGCCACGTCTTGGCAAAATTAGTGCCCCCTTGAAATGGAAATCGAAGGAGCTTGTTCAACTAGTGGTTTAAACATGCTTAAAGAAGGCGGCCCAACCCTGGCCACGTGAACCCTTGGAAACTTGGCATTCCTTGTGGGAATTGCCATGTCCACAGAGTGGCTCTTCATGGTCCCAGCTCCTTACTTAGCGGCTTATCGTCACAAAGGGGAGTCCCATGTCCGGGCGGCTCTTGCACTTTTTGAGAAAGCCTAGTATTGAATCCGCTACAATAGGTTTGCTGATCCGGGATCACAAATAGTCTTTGTCTTTGTTCAGCTGTTTCGGTCGTTGCTGGACCTCCAGCTTGTTTTTCAACCATAGGGGACCCCATGTTTGTGTTGAAGCGAATCCAAAAAGGACATTGGTGCCATGTTTAGGGGTATCTAATGTTTTTTGTTTCGAAACGCACAAATATTCCCTACACATTTTGTGGTAAGCCTCCCCCCAAGTTGCGAGGATTTGGGTGCATGTGCAGTTTGCGTTTCGGAGGGCATCCTCTTCAGGTTGGTTCACAGGGAAGCCAAAAGGAACAGCATCATTTTGACAGTATCCAATGTTGACGCATACCCATCGGAGACCAGCCTAAGTGCCTTCCCCGGCGTCTTTTGAACTTTTAATGGGCGTTCTTAAGCTTGGTGTCCTAAATAGACCCACTTGCACAGCGGTTGCACAATTGAAGGGGGCCCTTTGTGGTTTGATCCTGGTTTCATAAACCTCATCCGCAGCTTCTATTTATTTCGATGCTGCCCGCCAGCAGCCAAACCCAACCAGTCAATGGGACCCTCCCCAAGCAACAATCGAGTGCGGTGGTGCAGTAATCATCATGAGCGAGCACCCAACGAGCTCCAAAACGTGGCAAGTGAAACTTGTGAAGGGGGGATTATTTGCCAGTGGGAACATCTCCAAATGCCGTGCTTGATCAGGGAAAACTCAACATGTCAAGGGTTGTCCGTGGCAACTGAACCCTGGCTGACAGAGTAACTTGCCAAACAATTTGTTTCCCTCGAAGCGGGACCACATTCAACAAAGAACGGGTTTCGCTCAAAAAGGCATAGACGGTTCCCTCATTTTGAGACGCGCTAGAACACCGGCAACTGACGGCACTTCATACAGGATGATGAGCTGTTTTCGTGGGATGTGTGCTTTGGATGGCCCGTCAACTGCACAACCCATTTGGGTATGGGTCACAAATTCGGTACCAAACAATGGTCATATTCAGTATTTGGCCATCCCAAAATAGGGGTTGTTTCTGTTTGGTTTCCCAAGCCACCCAAGGGGGTCCACCATTTTGCGCAACCTCCATTCATGGCCACTGAGTTGGTTGTCACTAGCAGGGTTTGGGATTTCCAATTGGTAAGGACCGTCTGCTTGCAGGATCTGGACCTGATCCGCTTTTGGTCAGCTCTTCCAGACAAGGCCGCATTGACCCCACTGAGAGGTACACTCCCTCAGACTAACATGGAAGCTCCCAGAAGGATTCTGCAAATGGAACCAAGTCTTCCAAAGGGGTCCTGGGAGCCATGTTTGTCTGGGGGAGGGTACTGGGCCACCACGTCAGGGTGCAAGCTTACTCCAACTCCAAGCTGTTAGGCCTTTTTGGTGCGTTGGGACGTCCGAGAAGTTTCAGCTCTTTATGTTCCAGCGACTGGGAAGGGGACATGGGAAATCAGGTTTGTAGGGGTGGCACAATTGGGGGACCTGGTGTGCACGACCTTGATCTTTGCGTGCCAAAGGCAAGCGTAGATGGGGAATCCACGCACTGAGAGTTTGTAAGCAGCCTGGCTTAAACGGTCCCTTTCAGCTTTTCCTGGTAGGATACGACTTCTTCAGCAAACCAAGGGAGCCTACCGGGTAGTTCGCAGTTTCTACTTAAGTGTTGATGGCTTCTGCTTCCCTTTTGCGGCACCCCGTTGTGCGATGGCCTAGTTGCAAACCCTCCTCAATTTGTCAGTCAGACAGAGGCATCATTCCAGGTCCTGTGGTTGACATTCCTTGAGCTGCTCCTTTCTTATTTGGAACCTGCGTTTTACCCCTTGGCATGTACAGCATGATTTGCCTGCTGGTTGCTGCTGTGACCGGCAAGAATTTGAAGTATTTGAGATCTTTGGTTTGGCCCCTCAGGGGTTCCGAGGCCTGGTGCTCAACCAATTTTGCTTGGTGTCGGAAGTCGAATTAACGCAACAGGTGCAGCCGCAGGAAGGAGAGCAGGAAGGACAGCGGCCCAAATAAAGAGAAAGCCTTCAGGCAGAGCTTGAGGTTTGCTTCGACGTGAGTCTGGCTCTGACAAAAGCAACTCTCTTTGGGGCCCTCTCTGCGACCATTGGCATCGGAGTGAAGCAATTGTGATGGGAGTGCCACCTTGGTATCAGCAGGGTCATTCACGCCATCAGAGTCATTCAAGCACAAGCAGGACAACCACAGATCAGTCTGGCCCCAAACACTCCCCCCAGAAGAGGCAGAAAGACAACCGTGACCCTTCTTGGCAGAAAGGCAGCCAAACCTTGTTAGACAAATCTTTGGAGGAGCTTTATTACTCAGAACCTCCCCCGGGATGGGGGGGGGAAGCTCAGAAATGCTTGCCTAGAGCGAGGTGTTCAAGGGGTTCCTTACTACTTTGAACCTTAGTGTTATTTTGGTTATAAATACGTACGTTGCCTTGTGATAATGTTGGAGATCAGGCTTTCCATGATAAACATGGGGGGTGTGTTTTTGTGTTTGAGATACAGGGTATGAATGCGGTGAGTGGGGCCAGTCACGCCCACTTCAGGAACATCAACTGAACATTAAAGGAAAGCCGACTGCCAACCAAAAGCTTGTTCATCGAGACGTTCACGTATCTTGGTTGGCTTATTGACTCATTGACTCATTGACTCAAGTAAGCTCATTCACCATCTACACATCAAAGGCCAAAGACATCCACTTGAGTGGGGTCAACAAGTGATGATTAGCCCTGGCTACCTCAAAGTGGTTGCATTTTGAGAGGGCTTCTCTTGATTTTATCTTGGGCTTCTGTTTATGCCATCGTTTAGAGAGGTTGCCAGCAATGCCCACTTCTGTGATACCGCTGGAAAGCCGTCACAGCGACCAATTTCCTGCTTCAAGTGGAGGTTCCGTGGTACAGAAGCGGGAACCAACCCCAAACCCCATGCGGCCATGGCAGGGTAGGGGGTCTATACCACGACAAGCCCTGGATAAGCCCTGCAGCCCCAACCCATAGACTGTCCTAGTAGGGTTCCCTGACGCTGCGGTTTGGAGGGGTTGTGCCTTTTTGGAGGGTATCCTTCACTTGGGCTTCAGGCAGCCTTTGGCCTGCTGAAGGCCCCGGGCAGAGCGCAAAAGGCGGTGCAGGACACTTCGCCTCGGTTGGACGGATGAAAGGTTTTCAATTCTTGTCGTTTTGGATTCGGTGCTGGATGTTGTTTAAGATGTGATGGATTTGCGTTGGATGCTGTGTTGCATTGTGTGTTGGACGTTGTTCGAATTGATTTCTCAGGCCGCTTGTCCACTTCCTCTTAGTCAGTGGACCATGAAACCACCGCCTCTCATGCGAAACAACTTGGCAAGACGAGTTTCCCCTTTGTGAGTTTCAACAGCTGTCGGCCGGAGGATAGATGGGTATGAATTGTAAGCGCCATGGGAAACCATTTTGGCACCCCTGACTGTGAACAATTCTTACCATAATTTACTATGGATAGTATGGGATATCCTGTTCAAGTAGTAGAGATCCGCTGACTGATGTGGGTGTGTTTTGTTGAGTGGCCGTGGGCTATATGAGATGGATCCTTGCGCGAGCTCTCTGAGTTGGTGAGCCCCAAGAAACAATGAACAGCATCTTCCTGGTTCTCCAATATGCTCAAGATGGGTCACGTATCAATAATCACGAGCAGCCACATTTTAAGGGTGTTGCAGATGTCAGTTGCTCGTGTGGGTGGCGTTCGTTTACTTATTTGAGCTTACGTGCCATCGGCGCTGTCGAATTCGGCTACAGGACCGCCTCGCTTGCAAAGATTTGGCCGAGCGCGCCGGGCACCCCGGAATCGCGGCGCCTTCGCGGAAGTCCCCGTTGAACACTTTAGAGTTGCCAATACCCCTTAGCGGGGCTCCTTAAAAGATACATGTTGCCCATTTCAAACATGGCTTTTTCCACCAAAATAAAGGGAAACCACCATTTACAAGTTGCAATGCTCAGGTGTTTTTCATGTAAGCATCCCTGCTTAATTCGGCTCTTCATACAAGGGGAAGCATGTCCCCATGTGCTCGGTGAACCATCCGTTCGTCACGGTGAGCTCCAGGTAGGTGCGGGACCCAAATCGCCGGCCCGGCGTCCCTTAAAATCACCAGCTACAAAGGGAGCGTCCTGGCCATTCCTGGCCTCTTGTAGAATATCAGCATTTGTTTAAAACAGTGGCTTCAAGGCGAATAGCTTGCTGTCATCCAATTGAGAGACGGTTCAAGAGCCACCTGTCTACAGACCCAAAGGAGGGATTAAATCAGCGGTCAAAATGAATCCCGAGAGGACATGGACAATTTTGTGTGTCGCCCTGGTTGTGCGGGAAATTTGGAGCTCGTCCCCTTCTCGTAAATCCTCACACACCCGGCAGACATCGAATGGCCTTTCCCGTTCCTTGAATATCAAGTACCAAATCACGGTGCACCCTTTTTTCCCGTGCGCGTGAAGGTCTGGGATGCGCTTTAACAGGTGAAATGCCGCTGTGTTGATTTCTTCTTTTTCCGGATGGGTTTGAAGGTGTTTGATGCAATGGACTGGTTTCAGCTAGAGTCTGCTATAGAATCATTTTGGGTGTCCACCCTGGGCAGAGTTTGTAAACCCCTCCATGTTTCTGTTAAAAGCTTGTTTAATTCTCGGCATGCGCTCAACTAATTAAGGGTACCCCCTTTCGCTCCCTTTTTTCAGTGTCTCAAGAGACCAATTGGGTGTGAGTCAAAATTCAGCCACCAGGGACCGCAGGTTTTAGTCTCAGGTTCCATTTACCAGGGCAAGCCATTTTGGGGTTACCCTATTTTCGACCCACAGCCAATTGCATCAACTTTCTGGACCACACTGCCGTCTTTGGGCCTCTTCAAACTTGTCCTGTGAGGTCTCGAAAGCCTTTGTCCTCAAGTTCGGCTATGAGACCCTGGACTTGAAAGTCCTGTGCTCCCGCAAGCGTTTCGGAAGTCGAACGTTCCATGGGAGGGGCCGGGCATTTTTGGGATCAGAGAGCCCACTCGCCGCGCCAAGAGAAGGCCATTTGTTTACCGTCTCCGTGCTTTCCCACCCCACACAAACACCTAGAGGCAATCGGCCCTTTAGAACGGCGCGTGGGTTGATCTTTGCCAAGCATCATGCTGAGGAAATGGTCAGGTTCCAAAACTGCTTCACGCTTATCTCGGCCAAAAAGCAACTCACAGCGTATCTTACCGGGAGAAAACCAGACAACCCCGCTGCCAAAAATGGCTGGGAACCTTGCTAGGGGATCTGATCCAAACTTTGTGGAGTTGCAAGGACGAGCAAAGCACGAGATGGGTGTTTTAAAACCGTGCAACAAGGAACCAATCAGGAGACAATTAGCAGGGAAGTGGGATAGATTTATGTTAATATTGTTGGATTGTCAACAACACTCTTACTCATAAACACTTTTGCGACAAACACACTACGACAGCAAGAGCTCTGACTGCCTGGAGTCTTCCATATGCTAAGAAAGGGGTCATGTACCCGTAATTTTAGGGTCACGACCGAAGCCTCCCAGTCGCATTTTGGGATTTCCTGGCTTACTGGTTCTATGAGACGAGACAAAACCAAGGTGGGATTGGTTCGCTGGACACTTGGGATCTATGTTGCAACCCTCCTGTTTCGGGCTGTTGTGCTTTTTTGGAGTGCCTGTGTTGCAAGCTCTTTTTTTTATGTTTTTCTTTTTGTTTTGGGTGGGGTGGGGTTATCTGGTTTTGGGCAGCACAGCTCAAGATGCGCAACCATTCGATTCGCAGGTTCAACTTCTGGCTCTCCATGCCGGTGCCGGCCCGTAGCAGCACTCACGTGCGGGCGCCCAAATGAGTCCCTACGATACATCAAGATATCACCGTTCAGCATATTTAGAGAACGACGGTGTAAATTGGGTGGTTTTAGGATGTATCCTTAAGGAAACCTATTCAAAATGGTGATTCCCGGGCTCTTGTTGTTGGTGAATGGGAAGCAACTCCCTACCTCCAAACTACCAATTGGAAGTCGCACCTCCTTATCTTTCTCTCTCTCTCTCTCTGTTTTCTTCTGTTTTTGGGGAACCTACAGAAAGTTGAAGGATGGGTTGGGATTTTGCTCGGCCACGCTCTTCCCCACCCCCAACCTCCCCAAAGAGCTTTACATACTTTCAAACCATGTAGGGGGTAAGGTGAGGTTAGCGCATCATTCGGGTCCATTGGCAAGGGGAACTTGGGAGAAACAAATGGCAGGGGAGACGGGCGGAGTGATTGCCGAAAGGCAACTGGCTGGTCTTTTCTCTTTTGGGCCCTTTCTCCTTTGGGCGAGCCCAGAACCAAGTGGGCGGTTCAGTTTGTGAGCTTCCGGGGAAATAACCCAAGCAGGGTGCCCTGGATATAGACAAAGGGCCCCCTATCATTTGCAACCAAAGCGAAGGTTCCGCGGGGTTGTCTCAGGTGATTTTTTGGCCGGAGTCTCGGGTACCTTTTTAAGGGTATCCAGCTGAAGCCGCCATCCCTAAGGCTCCCGATGCATTTTGGGCCCTGAAAATGGGTGGGTTGGTTTCAAGGGCCCCTGAAGGGGTCCAGGGACGGTCTGGGGGTCATGAGCCGTAGGGTTTGAGCTTTTTGAGAAGACGACTCGAGTTAACCCTGTTTGTCTTGTAGACAGGGGGTACCCAGCAAATGGGTTGCCGACCGCTGGCCTCGGCATCTTTGTGTCTGTCAAAGTCGCACAAGACGTTCAGTCAGCCTGCGCTCTGGCAGGCTTACCGATCGGGGGCAAAGCGAGCGAACACCCATGATGCAGGATCCCCTTTTCTTGGGGATCCCTTGTTTCAGGCTCTGGAACTAAGCTTGCAAAGTATTTGCCAGGCTTTGGCAAATCTCGCTATTTTGGGCGCCTGCGGACTGGAACAAAAGAGTCTGCAGGAAAATATCATCTCAGGAGAAATGGTTGAACAGTGATGTACCTAAGATATATCTGATACCAACGGCCCTTCCAACTGATTTTAATTAAAGTCGAGGCTCCCAATCACAGAAGTGGGATTGCCCCACCCCGCCCAAAATTTTGCGTTTGATGCTTTGGATTCTGGTGGGGTCTCCAAAACTATTGCGTTTTTGAGGTAGACAAACATATAGAAATCAGAATCATAAAAGAAATCACCAGATGTGATTAGTCTACTTCTACCTCAAACCTTGTTTGAAGGAATCCCCCCGGGGTGGGCCAATGTGGATCGCTCGGCGCTTGCCGAGGTGCGTGGCCACAGCGACCGGGAGGCATGCGACCGCAGGGGTATGGTGAGCGGTTCCACAGATTCAGGAGGTGGCGGTTAAAACGAGCGAAAACCCATGCAGCTCCTCTACTTGGGTTTCGGCTCAGCTTTCACGTAGCAGCCCTGTGGCCCTGTTAGGCTGCCGGTGCAGATGGGCCATGACACCGTGCTATGAAAGGATTCTGGGATATTCTGGGTTAGTTTGTCACTATCTCCATGCTGATGATCCCTGAATTTTGCTGGGGTCAACGCCGGATGAGCCAGCTTTGCTGCAGTCCCATTCTGGTCGCTGGTGTGCCATAGCTGTGTTGTGACCTTGGGGCCATGGTCCGTTGCTTGATCATCACAGCTATGTCGCCTTCTTCCGGTTCGCCCATGCCACTGACTGACTTCTTCTGAGTGGAGAGATTTCAAGCGAAACCCACCGCAGCACATGTCGTGGAATCTGTTGCGGCCAATGAATGCGTTGGACGAGTTACTTTTCCCTCTAGCAGGATGAATCGATTTGCTTCGATCAACCAGTTCAGCGGGCTACGGTGGGCATTCTATGCTCGACATGCACCTTTATATGGATTGGAATTTGACACTTGCAAGCCCACATGGCATTTGGTCCTAAGCCTGTTTGAACATACACCCCAGATAACATGGACCCTCGCAAACCACAGGACCACTCCCCCTCCCCATTTTTGTTTCCCCTCCAAACGACTCAAACAATTGCGGGGTGGCATATTTACTTTGAGGAAACCATTTGTTGTCCCTCTCCCCCAGACAAAAGGCAAACGCAGAGGAATCATCGCCAGGTGCTGAGCCGCTTGGAGGATTTGCTGCGGCAGCGCCGAGAGTCGGCGGAGGCCTCTTGGCCCGGACCTCGTGGCTTTGCTTTCAACGTGGGGAGCCATCAAAGTCAAAAACCCTGAACCTTCCATGTGGCTAAGAGTATCTTGTTTAATCTTCCCCTGTTGATTTCAAAGGAAATCTATCACTACTGGATATGTTTTTTTGTTTTGTTTTATAGTTGTTCCACTGGACTTAAGCAAATGGAGGGAACCTGTTACTTTGCTGCAAGGGGACTGGAGCCACCCCCCTTCCCCACCAGGAAAGAGACTGTAGTCCAAAGGCCATGTGGGGAGGGAGCGTTGAGTCGGAGCCCAAAATGCCGCTGACCATGCCGCAAATCTTTGTACTTGCTTGTGTGCCATGAGGCGAGCACCAGGCACTATTCTCGGTAGTCCGAGAAGGGGGC